AAAGGAAAGAAGGGAAAGGAAAAATGATGAGAAATGGAAAAAATGGAAATAAAGTCTTTGTAAATAGGGAAGGGTGGAGGGCGTGAAGGGAGGGGCTAGGAATGGGGAAAAAATAAGAACCAAGATGCATTATGTAAAGGTACAATTCCCAATGAGAAATGTAACTGTGCTGTATACCTACAACGTACCAATGAGAGAATTTAAAACAAAAAAACAAACAAAAAAAAAGACCTGGGTTCAAAGGCAGCTTTGGCATTTCCTACTTGTGTGACCTTGGTTAAGTTATTTAACATTGTGTCAGCGCCTTCATTGGTAAAATGGAGGAAACTGGGTCTGTGGCACGTCAGACCTGGAGCCCAGGAGGCCCTCGCTGTCAGCTGTTAGCATAACTGTCCTTTCTTGTGGGCTCTGTACAGAGCCACCAACCGTGCATGTGCTCTGGGAACAGCCGCCGCCAGACACGGATGAAGTCACCTCAGCTCCCAGCCTCAGGGCTCCCTCCAAGCCATGACCCCTGCATGCTCAGGCCCGGCACTTTCGAGAGTTACAGAATTACAGCTAAAGCCACATCTTCCACCCCAGATTCACTAAGGGTGGAGTCTTCACTGCCTGTCTCTCAGCTCTGTTCCTGGGCATGGGTTTGGCTTTTTTTAGGACAGACATTTATGGGCACTGTATGTCTTTATTCTCCATGTCACTTCCTCATGACTCTCCCTTTTAAACACAAGCCCCGATCGGGCCCCCAGTCAATCCCTGCTGTGCTAGGACTTTCAAGGCATGGCTAGCTGTGACTGCTACTTAGTCAGCCTTCTACCCTAATGCTCAGGGGCTTTGACCTCTGCTCGCAGCCCACCCTTTTCCGCCTGGCTCCTGCTGCCCTCTGTGTCCTCTGCCCAAGGCCCCACTGGGAATGTTCTCTCCCCAGCCCATGAATCTTCCACTCGGTTTTAGGTCCTTGCACAAATGGCTGATCCATCAAAAGGCTGTTTCTTGCCCCAAATGACACGTAATTACCGCTTGTTATAAAATTTCTGCACATTTTATCAGGAGGCAGAATAGAAAAAGCAAAGGCTTTAAAATTGGAAAGGCTTGTTTCCAAATCCTGGTGCAACTCACAGCTTCATGACTAGGGCAGATTATTTATTCTCTCAATGTTTGACTCTTTGCCTATAAAATGGGACAATAACACTCATCTTCCAGGGTTACAGTGATAATTAAATTATATGTACACAAAGTTGTCGGGTAGAGTTCCTCAGGCACACAGAGAGACTTAACAGGTTTATTTTTCCATGTCCTTCTCAACTGGTATTTTTCACTTCCCACTTTCTGGGAGAATGACTTGTGCCTTCTTCATCTCCCTGGCTGGATGGCTGGCTCCAGGAGGGCAGGATTTTTGTGGGATTTTAATGAGTGAATGAAAGGACAGTTACTATATTAATACAAACACAAACCTCTGGATCCACTAAGTATGAAAGCTTGAAAGGCTCTCAGAGAGAAATCACACAGATGGTGTGTTAGTCAGCTTTCCATCACTGTGACAAATACCCCAGAAAATCACCTGAGAGCAGGAGAGGTTTATTTTGGCTCACAGTAAGTTTTGGTGCATGGTCACTGGGCCCTGTCCCCTTGGGCCTGCGGCAGCAAAGGAAGGGGCTGAGGTTCCAGTGTCCCCTCCAAGGACACAGCCCTGTGACCTTCCTCCCAGCAGGCCACCTCCTAAGGGTCCCATCACCTCCCAACAGGGCCAGAGGCTGGGGACCAAGCGTGGAACACATGGCAAGCAAGGAGTGGCAGACAGTGACCGGGCTGCACTTCTGTTCTCCCGTAGCGCTTCCCTCAGCAGTGGGAAGTGCTGGCAGGCCCGTGGGACCAGAAGCATGCCTCGGTGAAGGTTAGCTCCATGGGACACAGGCCCCTCAGCGAGCCTCCACAGGCAGCACCGGACCTGCAATCTGACAACGCACCTGCAGGACCTCCCAGGCTCGACACACACACAGATGAGGTAAGGAAAGAGCTGGCTTTTCATAATCTGCCTTCCTTCTAGCAGGAACAAAAGTCCATCCTGTTGTTGTTCTTGGTAAAAAGATGCAGTGAGACGGCATCACACACAGGGGTCCATGAAGACGTGGCGACTGCACACAGCTGCCCCTGCACTGGCTCCACCTCCCGGGGGCCTCATCCCTTGACCTCCCATGACACAGGTCCTGCCTCCTTGCTGTCCGAGAGGATGACTAGCTAATCTCATGACTGGCTCAGGTGAACAGCGAGTGGGAGCGGTTCCCAGGGGTGAGACTGTCTTTCTGCAGAAAGCTCTCCTCAGCGCCGACCCTGAGGAGGGCTGGGAGACTTCTGGCGGGTCAGAAGGGCCACACAGGCATGTGGCAGAGGGCTGTCATGATGACTGTGATGGCAGGCAGAGGAAGGCATCAAGAGCTGATAATGTCAACATCTAGTATTTTATTTATCAACAGGCCATGCGAGTGACAACTAGTGGTGTGTCCTTCACAGGCTGTGTAAGGCCTCTCCAGTTCCTTACAGGGAGTACTCACTTAACTCCGCCTCTTGGTGGTCCCACGATCGGACCTGTCCTATAAGTGAGAATTATGTTTTCAGTTCTGTTTTTCTTGATGATCCTAAATATAACAGAGACCCTAGGGCACAAGGCGGTGTGAGCCTTGTGCCTGCCCATCCTGGTGGAGGAGCTGGAGATCTTGAAGTATGGCCATGCAGTGTGACCTTTGTTGACCCGTCCAACCTCCCAAAGACTGCTTCCTTTCCTGTGAAAGAGGGATGAAGCAGCAACATGCACAGTACTTTCATCATGATGGTGACCCAAATGGGACGCTCTTATTGGAACCTCTGGTTTTCAGCGGGGTTGGGGGGTTTCATCAAAATCATTTAAGTCACAAATATATTCTGCTGTGTAGCCAGAACTAGGGGCCACAGTTGAATCATACTCAACAAGTGTAGGGAATTATTTCTAGAGCTATTCTCGAACACATGAATGAACTGAACATATATTCAGAAAGATACAAAGGCAGGTTCAAAGAAATCCAAAACAGAAAGCTTGTCCCTTTGCACCAGAACATTCCCGATAAAAGTGCTAAATAGCAGCAATAGAAGCTGAGGACACTCTCACCAGGGATAGCCAGAATCCTTTGATTTCAAATTACTGGTTCCTCCCTGTATCTAGTAAAAGTATCTGCTGAATGTTATCATAAATGCTGGGGCAACAATTTTAATCTAAGCTATAGAATAAACCAAGAGGAAAAAAAAACCCTTGCAAATTAGATATTCTCAATCTTCAAGTCACTAATTTTAATCAATATCAGTCTGGAAGTTTTAAATGACTTTCTAGCAAACCTCCCCACCCCCATCAAGTAATTATCAGAAATATTGATTTCATTCCTTATATTCAATCTTACAAGTTCATAAAATATTAGCCTATTACGTTAACATAAAAATGTAATTTAGTGGATTAAACAGCAGTGGGAATTCCATATGAGACCTGCAAATTGGGTCTATATAAGGTTGATTTTTAATACATCACTGACACTCCCTTCTCCAGCCCCCCAGCCTCAGGGTGGGTGAGGAAGGTGGTGACCGAGGAGGCTAACAGGCTAGCAAGAGAATGACACGTAGGAACTTCGATCACGAAGGACAAAGATGAAGCAGCACAAAGCAGAACTCATCTCATTTTATGGATTAAAAAAAGGGCAAATTCACAAAGGTACAGTAGCTTAGCCCAAACTATATTGTGTTGGCGGCGGCGGCGGCGACAGGGGGCACTTGTAAGAATTCAGGTTTCCTCAGGCCAGGTCTGTGACATTCTATAAATGATGCCATCCACACAGAACAGTGGGTAGAATGTGTGGATAGAGGGGAGAAGGATGAAACCTGGCTTTGTTTCCGCACAGGATTCCTTACCCTGGCTTTCCCTGGACTGATTACTGAGAAATACTGCTCAGAAACATAGGACAGGTGTTCAGGCTCCATATTTACTAGGGTAATAATTACTCGGCCACCATGATCACACGCACAGAATAGAACTTATTAATACTGGGAAATTCTGTCATTTTAAAAAATAACTCGGGTGTGTGTGTGTGTGTGTGTGTGGGCGCGCGGGCACAAGAATGCAGCAGGTAGGCAGGCAAATGCTCACAAATCTTGTAAAGAGCATACAGTTTTGTATCAGGATGCCAGGGAACCTATCAGGAAATGGCTTCTGGGGTTCTGGCATTGCTTTGTTGTACAATGCTGACCCGTTTTCTCAGCAGCAAAAGGTAATAACCACCTCTCTCAGCGACTCTGAAGGCTGAAATGATAATGAATGGGAGCACACTTGGGAAGGCACAGGCTACGAAGCAACACAAATGCTTAATTGGTATTTTATAGCTCTCAGAATTGCCCGTGTGTGATCTAAGGTGTCATACACGATCCAATTGCTGTAAACACATCAGCTGATTTCTACGGCAAAGAAAAAAGGCAGAGAGAAGCCTTGAGAAGTGTCTGGAGGCAGGCGGGACACACTCTCCGTTCTCATTTACACACAGTTCTCCACAAATCACCGTGTAGTTTATATGCTTGGTGATTTGATGGTGAACTTTTCAATGGGAGGGATCATCCATCTTCTGCAGCATCTGCCACAGCAGGAGGCAAAGGTAAAGAAAGAGGCCCTCATCATGAGACAACAGGACTCTGCTGTGAGCTCTGGAGAAGGTGACTTGCCCCAAGCACACAGGCTGAGCTCCAGACAGAAGGCAGCTTTTGAGGGCAGAGGCTCTGGTTCCTCTCTGCAGATGGAGGGGAGGTGGCCACTCCCATACGAGGCCTGAGCTTCAGGGAGAGGGCGCCTCGTCCCTGCAAGGGGTGCTGGGACCACAGGCACCTGCTAACAGTCCAGGTCTCGGCAGCGGGTGCAGGTGCTCTATCCGTGTGTACGTGTTGCCCAAACAGAATGCACTGGAGCTGTCATTTGAAACCGAATGGAAGCCAGTGCACTGGTTGCAGGAAGAATAAGCTAGGGACAGAAAGCAAGATGGAGGAGCAACGGATGGAAAGGTGTGCATGGGGATGGCAGGAGCAGCTATGTCTTGAGGGACTTCAGTCTGGGTGGGTGACCTTTTGAGCCTCTCTGCTAAGCTGCTTTATGCTCTAGGTACCTACAACACAGCCCTAACCCATAAATATGCAAATTACGTCAGTCAAAAAGATTTTAATACCTAGTAAAAGAGAAAAAATCCTAACCCACACCTGTTTCATGCAACCTGAACCTGAACCTCCTATTCCCTGTCTTGAGCTAACATAAGGGATATCTGGGTCCCTTTGGGTGGGTGGGGGTCCTGAATTTCCAGAGAAAGCCTCAAACTGTCCCTAGACCTACAGGGTCTACACTACACCCCAACACAGGCCTCCTCCTAACCTCCTGCTTCAGCCCAATTCCTTTTGAAAGAAAATAAACACATACCTCCTTCAGCATTCTGAATCTTGGCTGGGGAACAAGGGTAAAGCAAGGCCAAGCCCACCTCCATGAATTTCCCCCTTAAACTCAGAAACAGGAATGAGCAACATGGTCAGAGAATTTGTGAACCTTCCAAAGGACAAAACAAAAAAACAACTAGAACAGAAAAAGACAAAAAAAAAGGAGCATTGTTCTATTTTTTTAAAATCACAGGGATTTTTGCTCATTTATAAACAGATATTGAGTGAAAGCTCTCAACAAAGAACAGTCCCCAGATCATCAAGAATGACCTAGTGCGGCAAAGATCACCATTTAATGCCTGAATTTTATCTTACTACTGATAACTTCACTTGAAATACACACATGAATAAGCACTTAGGTATCTGTACTCTGATAATTGGTTCGTTATTGCCAGGTTCAGACTGTGGTTTCTTCAATCTGTGAAGGTAGATCCACAAAAGTTAGATATTCCCAGCCAGTTAACATTATTAAATAGTCTTTGTATGAGCTTTGCAAAAAGCAACGAAATGGTGCCTGAAGCTAAAAAGAAAACTGAAATTTTGTATTTTCTACAGTATGCCTTAACTATAGACGAATCCGTGCAGGTAACTTTAAAATAGAAACAACACAGTGAAATTCCCAGAGGTGGCATTTAGAGGTGAGATTTGGTTTTCATTTCACCTGGCTTAATAATGAAAACATGAAAGACAGCTCCCAATTTCTCCAAGATCAACATATTAGTCCATTTAAAGAAATGCCACAGGAGGCTGTTCCTGCTTTTCTTCAGAAGACAGATTTCGTTTGTTCTTGCTTAAAATTAAATGTACCTCTCAGTTTCAGCAGTGCCTGAGCCACATCAGGGTAACATGAGTTGGATTTAAATGAATGCTGGAGGCAGACTGCAGTGGGAGCAGCCCAGCCTGCCAGCTGCAGCCAGCATTCGGCACCGTGGGCTCTGTGGCTGCCGCCCTGGGTGGATCGGGAAGACACTGGCCTTTGAGGGATGGCACCAAATGTCACAGCATGGCCCGCTCTGCTGCTGGGACAGAACCAGACAGGGAAACTGAACCCAACAGTAAGCAAAAGAATAGCCCCACCCCCAAAAGTGATAATGTATTTCTATGCCTGCCTATGTGTGCACACACAGGTGTATTTACGTATGCATATACTTAGGTACATGTGTGCACGGCTGTAAGAGTAATCTGTGTTTTTGTCAAGAAGCCTTAGCCAATATGAACAAAAATCCTTGGCAATGGATTCCACAGTGATGAAAGTTGCACTGAACCCACAGTGCCGGGGGCCAGCCTTAAGAACCGTATCCTTTTTCAAAGCACTTGCTGAACAGTAAGATAAGCAGGCTGCTTGGCAGGTTTGCTCCTCTGGCCTGCAGGTCTTAGGGTCATGCCTTCAAGAGGAAGTCTGCAGGGTGATTGCCAAAGTGCGTGCTATGGTGGGAGAGGGACAAATCCAGAAGGAACAAAGACTTCTAAAGACAACATGCTCATCAGAATTTAAAAAAACTAATTTTGCAAGAAGCCCTTGGCCCCTCCATCATGCAGGCAGGCTCAGAACGTGGACCTCAGGTGGGCCACATTGGGAAACTTGGAGCAGAGATCCCAAGGCATGGGGAAGTCACAGAAGGGCTCAGCTCGACAGGGCGTGACTGGCCATGTCTGGGCCAGAACTGGGCTAGCATGGGCCAGATGGACAGTAGATGCTGGCTTTCAGGTTGTTCAGCACGCGGTCTGGGCCCATGGCACACATTCCCACTACTTGAGTGGCCTCTGAAGAAGATGCAGGTGAGTGGGAGGGGACAGGACAGATGGATGGTGGACATCAGGAACAAAGGGGCCCGCAGAGGAGACGGTGATGGTGCGGGGACCAGGATCGGCGTGTTTCACAAACCAGGCAGGAGGGTTTCCAAGAGACACTGGTCAACACAGCGTCAAAAGCCCAGAGACCGTGTAAGATAAAGGATAGACTGGAGTTATGAGTTTTGAGTCTTCCCGACTCCATTCTCAGTTCAAGCGTTTTCTTTACAGTTCATATCTTCAGCATCTATTTCAAATCACACTTCTGCGGGGAAGCTTTACAGGACTTCCCAAGTGCAGAGTTCTCAGCACTTCCTCCGATTTCAAAAGGCAGTGATGGAAATACCTGGCATGGCCCACATCCAGCAACCGCGCCTGTCCACACATGTGCGCTGACTTGGACTCTGCTTTATTTCTGCAGATCCTCATTCCTCCTGCTCTGTGTTTGTCTCATTTGAAGCAATCATCTTCTCCCCTGAATGTCTCCCTGTCTTGTCTTCCTGACCCCTCCTCAATCATTTAAACCTCAGCTTGTGGTGGATCTTTTCAACACAGAAGCAGTTTCACAGACACCCATCCTAGCTTCCTGAGAGCTGTTTCGCAACTCATAACAGTAAACGGGCCCTTTTCAGATGTGTCTTTTTGTGTATCTGCTTTCTCCCACTGCATGCTCTGCTCCTGGAGAAGTACCAAAGGGAAGGAATGTCACAGTCCGGGGGACCTGCTGCCCAGTCCCTGGCTACAGCTTGTCTGAGCCCCGTGGGATCAGCTGAGATCGGAGGGCAGAATGCTAATGGCACAGGGGTGTGGCATTCCTGGTCCAGGGCACCCCAATGACCACTTCCCTTCCCTCTGCCTCCTCCACCCTCACCTCTGCATCAGTGGGCCCACGTACAGCTGGCCTTCTGTATCTGTGGATTCCATAGCTCTAGATTCAACCAAGTGAAAATGTTCTATAAAAAAAATCATGTCTGCACTGAACATACATAGACTTTCCCTTGGCATTATTCCCTAAATAATATAGCAAGTGTAACAACGATTCACATAGCGTTTCGACTGCATCAGGTTAGGCGTGATCTAGAGATGAGAAGTACACATCTCTATAGTATACGAGTATAAGTATACAAGGATGTGTGTAGACAGCTTCTGTGCACACACTAAGCCTCTTCACGCCTGGGACTTGAGCAGATTTTGAACAGCTTTTTTTATCTGTGGGGAGGGGAAGTCCGGGAATGATTGTATGTATGACTGTATGAAGATGCTCCAAAATGCTGTAGGGCAAATGATTTAGGTTAGAAAGATGGAATTCCAGAACAGCTGTGTTAACAATACTGAATGTTATTGTCTAACCTGTTGCAACTCTGATTTTCCTTTTCCCACCAGACAGAAGAATGATACTGATTTTGTCCCAAAATTGAGACCTTACTTTGATGATATGTAATGTCTAAAACTAGAAGCTGATAAATTATTGAACTCTCAAAATATTCCAAATTATGGTTTAATGGTATATTAATTTATATAATTCTTGTATTAAATAATGACATCCTCTGGTCGTGAGTGAAAAACTATGTTAAGAATAAACAGCAGAAAAAAGCTAGATGACGGGCAGGCAACAGGAGAGAAAGGGATCCTGGGGGTGGAGGGGAAGCAGAAAGGACTAAGGTGTGGCTTGTGTCGGTATCAACTCCCCATGATGAATATACTCACTGAGTATTGCAAACAGGTACTATATATTAAACAAAAGAATTGGAACCAGGTTAGAGGTCGTAGCTTAAAATCTTATTTCCTGTTTGCTCTTTGGCTGACAGAAATGATAGGTAAAGGAGCAGAAACATGTTAGATATGAAAAAAACCCCTAAGAGCCAAATGATAAATGAGGAGGTTTTACCTTTAGGAGTTTTCCTTTATTTGCTTTTATCTACTTTTCTATTGCATTGTCTTCTAATGGTCCTATATCACCTATCATAACCTTAGATCCTTAGATGAATATAAAACTGCCTTAGTGGTTAGCATTCAGAATAACTTATGACATCTGTTGAAGCAGTATAGTAAAAAAAAATATACTATTTTTGTTAATAAAGAGGAAAGTAACACTTTAACCACTGAAGAAAGCAGTTACATGAAGCTGTATGAAATATATAAATATTTTAGTGATGTATTTTCATTACAATCTGTATTCAAACAGCATTTAAAATGTAAAAATCAAGACAGTGACTGCCGCCATGTTCTCACTGGAAGGGGTGTCATAGCATTGTGTTCTCCTGGTATTGACACACCTGAATTACAGTCACGGATTTTTTTCTTTTTTCCCTGTGCTGGGGACTGAACAGAGCACCTCATGCATGCTAGGCAAGTACTCTACTTCCGAGCTACATCCCTAGCCCTTTTATTTTGCTTTGTTGAGATAGGATATCACTACATTGTCCAGGCTAGCCTTGAACTTACATTCCTCCCTTCTCAGAGTCACTGAGCTTACAGCCTGTGCCACCACACCTGGCTACAGTCTTTAGTTCCTTACCAGCCTGGGAGCCGGAGGAGCAGGCAAGAAGGGAGGGAACACCCCAGGCCCTTCTGAAGAGCTCCCTGGGGAGAGAGCAGTGGGTGTCTGCTCCTTCAGTGAGGTGCTCACAGGGTTAAATTAGGGAGGCAAAACTTTCTCTTCATTGAATCCGTGAGTGTATGCCTGAAAAGACAGTTTTATCACTTCCTGTTAGTCACTCCCAGGATTTAGCATCTCTGGAGAGGAACCCTTCAGAGAACAAGGACCCCTGCTCTCCAACCATGCCAAACACTAATCAGGTGGCTGCACATGGTCCCTCTGCAGGGCAGTCCTGGTACCTGCCACACACCACAGCTCCCTGGCTTCCGTGGGCCCAGGCATCCCAAAGGAGTTTCTAAAACTCCCGGCAGTTCCTGCTGATCAGCAGGTATCACATGAGAGGCTGCCACATGAATGTCCTTCATTATGCCCTGGTGACCTGCACCAGCGAGTTTGCTGAGCTGTGGGCCACGATGAGATATCCACAGCTCAGAGGGGAGAGCGGGGTGGGAGGAGAACGCAGGAGGAAGGAGGGAGTGCAGGTGGTAGGGAGATCTGTTTGCTCACATTTCACAGTAATGGAACAGCTAAAATTTTTTTAGGGTTATAAGTATCTGTGGAACCATCTGGTGTGTCCTGCTGTTGCATCCCTTAGATTCTGTATGTTTATTTGTCTATGGCATCAAAACATCATGAGCCTAAAACAGCAATATGTAAAGGACATTGTATTTTAATGGAAACATACATAATACTGATGCTTCATAGACATACTATTTTAGGGCCTCAGTAGTTGAAAATTTCAATTATATACATACTCTTCCTACAAGTAAAAACAACAAAAAAGGAATCTTTATACATCTTTTGGATATCACCTTTGATAAAATGGTGAATCTTTTACCCATTCTTATTTTTAAAAAAATGACCTATTTTTAAAAGTTGGCTTTCAATCTTTAAAAAAATATGTTGTGAATATGAATCATTTTTCATATATTTTCTTCTATTTATCCTTCTCTCGAAAAGTGGATTTGACACCAAAATTTTAATTTTTTCCTTTTATGGTGCATAGTTTCTGTGTTCTGTTTGAGAAACCCTTGCCTATTGCAAGGTAATGACAACATTCTTTGTTTTTCTTCAAGAGTTATTTTCTTTCCCATTTAATGTATAAATGATTTCATGTACAGTATGAGGAAGGAGTCAAGAAACTTCTGCTCCAAACTGTTATCCAACTGGCTGAACTGCTGCGCCGAGTGATCATGCCTTTCTCCCTGCACGGCCTGCTGCTGTTAGGGGATTTGCAAGCAAGTACTTTTCCTTCTGCTCCTTTCTGTCCCCCTGAGCAGTGTGCCTAGCCTGGTGCCAATGGCACACTAGCTTAATCACCAGAGCTTTAGAGCAGTTTTGACATCTGGTAGTGGAATGATTCCAGCTTGCTTCTTTTTCTTTAAGAATGGCTTGGCTACATGGACCTCTGCTTTTTCATGGGAATTTTTGAATGGGGATCTCAGATTCTACGAGAGAGGATTTGCTAGTAATTTGACAGGGGTTGGTTAGATCTCTACAGTAACATGGGGAACATTAACAACTTTATATTATTGAGTATGCCAATCTGCCAAGAAGGTACATCCCTCCATCCTCAAACACATGAAAGGGGAGGTGCTCATCTCCATGGCAGAAAATCCCACATATTGGAAAGGATGTGGAAACCTCTACTACACCTTGCTGACAGGAATGCAAACTGGGCATACACTTTGTAAACCTGCTTGGCAGTATCTTCCAGAGCTGAATGTATACAAATCCTGTGACCCAGCAATCCTATTCCTACCATCACAGCTCTCTACAAGACCGGTACACGATGATCTACAGTAGGACCGATGAAAACAGCCCCCAGCTGGGAATGACCCAAATGATGGTCACGACTAGGAAGGGTAAGCAAAGCCTGGTTCATCCTCACAGTGAACAAGGGCGTGGCTCTGAGGCTGAACCTTCCCCAGCTGCATGTCCATATGGAGGAATCTCTAACTCTGGAGCGCTAGGAGCCAGGCCCCACTTACACAATGTGCAAAAGAGCTCGTACTATGAGGCTCCATTTACAGGAACAAAAGCAGGAAAGCCAGTGTGTGAGGTCATGGTCTGTGGTTGTTCTTGGGGCACAGTGGCGGCAAGGAAATGTGAGGGTTTCCTTGGCTGCTGAGGTCGCCAGCATACAGGAACACACGGAGCTGCGCTCTGATGATGGCGCACAGTTCCGTTTGTGTGTATATTTTAACAAGAGTCTCCAAAGGAGACATAATTTGGTTTTTCATTTAAAAATGGATTTACTTTTAAACAATTCCCCCTCCTTGGCTCCTCCCTTCTCCAGAGCATTTGTATAACCAATTATCTAAAGAGAATTTTTAAAGAAAGGATACTTGTAACTAAAAAAGGTCAGCAGGAGTTTTGGACACTGGAAATCAGTTTTAAAGATTTTAATGCAGTAACTTCTGAGTATTACATTTTTTATTCTAGCATGCCGCACTCTTCAGAGGCACTTAATTAGAAACATTTTCTTTTCCTACTTGGATGAGAATGGAGAAAAGTTATAAGCATTCAATGAATTTGTCTTAATTTCTCATTTAAATTATCACATATTCCTAGTACAGTGATTTATCAATAACTCTAAAATGGACACGAGTGTGCATCTGTGTTCATTTCTCAAAGAAATGTCCTTTTATGAAAAAGACAACATCTGTAAGAGTCTTCTCAGTACTGCCTTTGCAGTTCAGTTACAGCAGAATCCTTTGTTTTTCTCTAGTTTTGAGTCTATGTAAAAGTAATCAATGAATGCAATTACAGCATTCTAGGAGATTAGTTCTAGATACAATACAACCTAGTTTCCCAATGAACTTGTAACAAATGATAGCTGATTTCCTTTCAGTCTCTTTCTAGGAAATATGCTATTGTGGTTGAGCTTCATGTTTCTATAATCTACTGAATAAAAATTGGAAACAAAGGATTATGGAAAAGGCTAAAATTGTGAAGCAAAAGCAGTCTGCTGTGTTTTTTTAATAATACAATTATACAATTACGACTCAACTTTCAATAAAAATAACAAAAATCCTAACACTGGAAAATAGATTTTCATTCAAAAAATAGGAAGTGCTATGAAAGTGTTATCTGAGGAATACTTTGTGGTTATTAAGCCTGGATAATGAACTAAAAGAACTTGTCACAGTAGCCATCACTACAGAGACCCGCAGTTCTGAGTCAGTCATGAAAGAACTTTTTAAAGCCACATTAAATAGAGGTTTAAGACACAAGTTACCTAATAAGATCACATTATGATCTAAATAGTACAGAGCTCAGAGAATCCTGATAGTTGTTTTAAAAAGTCTTATATGATATTCTTGCTTGCTTATCTTTAACATTTGAGCTACAATTTTATTAATTTTTTTGGGGTACTGGGGATCGAACTCGGGCCCTTGCACTTCCAAAGCAGGCGGCATAACCACTGAGCTAAATCCCCAGCCCTAATTTTATTAATTTTTACTAGTGTTCAGATCGAGACAAAGCCAGCAGTATAGATGATCAACAGGTGGATCCTTTACTGGATCCTAGTGGGTTGTAGAGAGAAACCTGGATTGGAATTGATTTTATAGCAAGGCATAGTATCACAGCACTGATGTTCTGGTCTGGATACTGCTACTGTGATTGGGTGAACATACTTGGTTTTAGGAGATATGCATTGAAGAATTCATGGGTGTCATTTGTTTGTGTTTTTTTGTTTTTGGTACCGGGGATTGAACTTGGGTCCTTGCGCTTGCACAGCAGGCGGTGAAACCACTGAGCTAAATCCCCGACCCTAAAGTGTCATTTGTATGCATCGTATTTTCAGATGGTTCAGGAAAAACTATGCAAAGGGGGTGACAGTGAGAGAGAAGGAGGGAGGAGAGCTAACCAAGCGTGGGCAGATGTGGGAAACCAGGTATCAACCAGTGAATCATGGAAGTGCATGAGGCTTTTTATTACTTTTTTTTTTTTCCCGGTACTGGGGATTGAACTAGGGACCTTGTGCTTGCCAAGCAGGTGCAGTGCCACTGACCTACGTCCCCGGTCCTTTTTACTATATTATTTTTTCCCTTTTTTTGTATTCTTGAAATTTTTGAAGGTAAAAATTTAGAGGGGGGAAAAAACATCCCAACATGGTTTGGCTCTCTTGCTTGAACTTTAATGTTTCCCTTATAGGACAGTGCACATGCATGCACACACACACACTTTTCCTTTTTGGTGCTAAGGGTGGAATCAGGCCCTCATGAATGCTAAGCATACACTGAACTATACCCCTAGGTCCTCACTAGAGATTTCAAGCCTAGAGTAGTACAGGCCTTTTAACTCTTTACAGAATGATATCATTCTCAGTATTTTTATAACAGTCTAATGTAGACTATAAAAAAGGGAGTAAAAAATATGTGGGAACAGAAACAATGAATAACTTTATCCTTAACTAGTATGAAGGTAATGGTAACTGAAAATAAAACACTCGTTAGGAAGACCCTGTAGCTAAAGACTTCACTGGAGTCCAAGGATTAGGTTCAGCAGTTAGTGATCTATTGCTTAGTCACATTTACAAAAGGTCTGTGATTAAAATATAATTAGGTATAAAGTGCCTTTTCTTGCTCTTTCTTTTTAAACATGGCCATGTGAATACAGGATTTCATCCAGTTTCATACCACAGGATCAAAGCAGAAGGCAAAAATAAAATATATTCTTTTCTTTCAAATTAGGCATGCATAGCTGGGTATAAATCTTGAACCATCAATTCTATTTCCAGCAATCTAACCTAAACAGCCAGCTAAGTGACAGTAGTATATTCCTCACAAAGATGTTCATCAAGACATTGTTTATGGTAGGAAGTGACCTAATGAAGGTCCACAGCAGGAGACTGGCTACATAAATACTGGTTAGTGCACTTAGTAGTACCCTATATGTTCACTTTAAAATGATAATCCAGGCATATTTTTTACTGACTTGGAAGATGCTAATTTTAAATTAGGAGCTCATAAGTTATGAAAAATTAGTAGAGCTCCATCTGATGAAAAAATATACATTCATTTGCATCTGTTTGCAGAAGTAGCATGCTGGAAGGGAAGAGAGGAAAATCATGGAAAATATTATCCATGATAGGTTAGGAATAATTTTTTCTTATCCTCAAATATTACAAAGGTTATGGATTATCTGTGTAATAAAAATGGCAACATTCCCTTAAACAGGCCTTCTTGATGCCCAGAAAATCCCTCACTATCCATCAATATTATATCTCTTTCTAGTGTCTACCCTAACTCTTATAGTGAACAGGATTTGGCAAGAGAATACATTTACTCTAGAACACATAGTTTATATAATTATTTTATTTTATGATAACTACCCAAAAAGTCAAATGCAGAGGAGCGCAAGAGATTAACCACACTCTAGGGGCCGATAGAATCTAGCTGAGGGTCTGGATCCCAGCAATGCCCCACACAAGTCCAGCTAAAGGCTCTAAGTCCAAAGGAATGTCCTCCACGAGTCTAGCCAGTGGCGCAGAGCTCATGACAAGGTCTCATGCTTGTCCGTATTGAGGATCTGCACCTGGAAGGCCCAAAGGCTGGTGGTGGAAGCCAGAAAACCTACGCCGGTGGGATGAAGGATTTGTGCCACCAGGCTGAGGAATCCTCACTGGAGCCAGGAAGTGATGCTTAGGGTGAAGATCAGAGCTTCCCTGAGAAAAGAGTAGCCATTCCCAGCGATAGTGAGGCCCTGAGCTCCTCCTCTGGATGAGAACAGCCAAGTTTGCATCAGGAAAACCATCTGCAGGGAGCTTCTCCTAGAAAATCAACAGGCCACGATCTTCCTCTCCAGTTCTCTCTTTATGGTGATTGGCAACAATCCTCATGTGGATCCTCCAGCCCACACCATGCTGATTCAGTTCAGCTGGGTGTTACAAACTGAACAATAGTTACTCCACTACAACTCTCCTTTCCTGTCAAGCAAAACCCTAAAACACTGTTTCTTGAGTGTCCTCCATCCCTTCAATTTCTACACTAATGAGCATGAATCACTAAAGCTACTCTGTATCTAGTTACTTTGAAGATCTATTCCAGTTCACAGTTTATCCCTCTTGCCTGAGAAAGACACACCAGTGTCAAATAAAACGTCAATGATTGGTGGTGGGGGAGGGAGGAAGAGTGAAGGCTAAACAGAGCCAGGAGATATTTTTATAATAAGAAATCAACAAGTTTAAACTTTCCACAATCTTGATACAAGAATCAATAAGCATTTGTTATTGTTTTTGAGGTGCCTGTTAACCAACCATATAAACATTTCAAGAGTCCAGAGTGATGACAAAGCATCGCTCTCTGTGGCAACTCATGGAGCAAAATGTGTGAACGAGGCTTTTAGGCCACTGTTGTTGGGTGCTGAGCTCAAACACGGCAGATTTACACAGCATTTTAAAATTGATTTTTATTATTATTTTTAGGTGGAAAGGATAAAGGAAGAATTATGAACGGGCAGAAACCTACTCAGAGCTCATCAGTTTCCAGTACAGACCTCTGTAAATCACTACCTCCAGGGAACACAGACCATAAACCGAACAATGACACCCACACCGGCCACACAGGGACACGGACAGGCCTGCTGACTCCATGTGTTACTCTGGACACATCCCCTAGGGAAAGCACTTCTGGCTGCAAAAATGTACAGTCCAAATACCATAAGGATCCTAGGCTGTGTGCATGAGCCTTATTCATAGCCAAGAGGCCCTCTGGAGACTCAGGGGTGACAGGCCTATCTGGAAGCCATAGGTTGGCAGCTGATCTGAAAGGTTGCAAGTGGAAATATGCTGCACACCCCTGTGCTCCAAGACGCTGGGAAAGCATGCAGTGACATGGCTGCTAATGTGTGGAGGAACATCACCTCCACAGCAACAATTCCTGCAAAGCCCAGAAAAAGAAAGAGCACAGCAAAGAGGATTTGTTGGTGCGTTGGGAATACTTCTGAGGCATAGGAAGCCCTGGTTTGTCCAAGAAAGACGAGCACAGTTCCATGAACACCTCCCTCCCTTCTGCTTAGATGCTAGAGTCACTAAACTGCCCCGCTCCTACCCTGTTTTGCAATGTGAGACATCCCAAGGAAAGCCATTCTTCCCAAGGACTCAGCAGCTCCGGATTCTGACCTCTGGGACCTGCAAGGTTGAAAGCTCCCTCTGTGCGGTCAGACTGCTGTGTTGGCCCAAAGGGCTCTCCAACATTCCACAGACACTGCGCTGCAGAGGCACCAAACATGACGTTGCGGGGCAGCCTAACAAGTCTGTTGGATTCACTTGCTTCATTGCTGATTTCAGAAGGTGCTTGGCTACGTCATAAAGTAACAGAGCCCACTAGCTTTGCTACACATGACACCTCTGACGAGTGGGCTCTGTGGTTTTCAGGAATTTAGAAGGAGTCTTGAGTAGCTCAAAATGGTTGAGGCCAGTGGTCCTTCCCTTGGATCCACGAGGCTGTCATCTGGGTGACCTTTTGATGTCAGAGGGACAAAAACTCCACCCTCAGATCACGCTAATGACCCAAACATGTCTCCCGTGGACAGCCACGAAGGTGGGCTACACAGGTGCAGACTGCATTGCTGCACTTCCCCTTACTGCCAGTCTCCTTCCTCATATCTCAGAGCCATACACACCTGAGCCCTCTCCTCAGGAAGGTGGCTTTGCGGCGGGGGCTCCCACCTTGTTTGGCTTCTGTGAGAATAAACTTTCTCTTTTGTAAAATGCACTGCTTTAATGATAGGCAGGGCCTTGCTCAATGAGATGCAGAGAAAGTCATTCTCAGGCTCACAGTTAAAATCCTGTTATTTGCGTTAATTCTAAAAAGACAAGTTGACGCACTTGGGGGATTAAAATTATGCCTGTATAGTTCATAGCTGATTATTCATGGCTATATAAAAATGGACTTTTAATGATTTTATAATTCTATCCCTCTCCCATATCCCCCAAATCTACCAATATTATAAGGCAATACTGCCTCATTTCAGTGCACTCACACCATTATGTTTTACTTTTTGGTGGCACATGATAAAAACAGTAAGTTCCAAAAATGATCTGGAATCAAGCTGGACAGCAGTTTCTTCACTGTCAATAAATCCATTTTTTAATTATGGAGAAAGACATGTTTGTCTTTGGCCCTGATTACATTACAAATACCAGAAGTATTATTGCTCTAATGGGCATTATAGAAACATGACTCCCCCAGCAAATCTGATCCATTAATAACATCTCTGTAACTGCTGTCTAATGATTTCTGCAGACATGTAATAGAATATTTTATGGCTGTTTTCAGCCATCTGTCCTTCTTTCTTTTAATGCAAATTTGCCAGAGATTTAATGAAATTTCCTGTGCTTTGTGCCATTACACGTTTGTTAACACTGACATGTCAATTAGACATCTCAACACTGTCGCACATACTGTCTATGATCTATTCTCTGGGCCAAGGAAATAGAACCTTCTATTTCCAAGCTTTTCTCTTGAGCAAGCCATAGGTTCTAACCTGGGATAGCACATTCAGGGATGTTCCCAAGATGTGTAGGGCTAATAAGCTGTGCGGACTGAATCAGTTGCTAAGAACAATGAGCTCTGTTAAAGATACCATGATCTGAAGAATTAAACATAATGTGTAAAGTCACAGTGCTGGTCTTTACAATGAATCACCTACATTAATGCACTTGAAACTCAACTGAAGAGAACGGTTAATGTGCAGAGACTGATCAAAAATACATGATTTCCTATATTCAGCTTTTTTCCATTTAGAAATTTACTACTTAATACTATGTACTAATCACTTTTATAGTCAATTTTGCTCACGTTTAAATATATATGCAAGAAGTGAATGTTTGATCAGGAGGTGTATCTTAAAGTGATGCACTAGCTTTCAAAATACAACTGTGGGGCCGGTGATTTAGCTCAGTGGTTTCGCCACCTGCTGAGCAAGTGCAAGGACCAGAGTTCGATCCCCGGTACCTAAAACAAAAAACATCCCAAAAAAACAACTGTGACCAGCTTTCAGGCAGGTAAGACAGAGACTTGCTTCAGTAGGAAGCTGTCTGACAGGAAAATGCAGGTTCCTGCAGTACTGACTGCTGGGAAAGAAGCAGAGATGGGAAGTGAAACTGGAAGCTACAAACAGGGCACCTGTGACAGTCAGCATCCCTTCTGGTCCTGAGCTCAAGGGTTCCATGAGAAGAGAAGTGTGGCCCAGTACACAAACTTCAGAGATACTAGTTTGCCACTGTTGTTGGGCCTGACATGTTCCCTAGCAGGTTCTCTGGAAACACTTCCACTTCCTTTTTCTTTTCTTTGCTTCCCTCCCCCTTCCTTCCTTCCTTCCTTCCTTCCTTCCTTCGGGCAAAAGAGGAATAAAGAGGTTTCAACAAGCAGCTCCCTAGGGTTAGATACTACAGTGCATTTTGTAGTTAGCACCTACATAATATTGAAAAATCATTAATTTTACCTCCACAGAGAAGAATAACTAATTTTAACCCTACAGGACATCAGACACGTTACTAAGGATAGTGTGACCTTTAAAATCAATTATCGTAGTTAAAATGGGGACTATATTCATCTCTCTTCACTCCTGGCTTCACCCAGAAGTGAGAATGAACGAAACGGGAGGGATGTACATTGACAGGCACATTTTCACAAAAGACTCAAGTTTCCAAAATGAAAATGAAGACCATTCAGTGTGTTTTGCCCTGTCTGGTGTCACTAGGACATTTCTTCTTAGAGGGATGGGACTATTTGTACACTTAATGATTTAAGGAGGACAGAAAGTAAATCTTAAATACTTAAAAAAATCTTGTCTTGCCCACTATTCACAATGTCTATTTTTTCTATAATTTTAATTTTGCCCTTACAGTTATAATTGGTAATAGGAAGGTCCCAAATTAAGGGATAAATATAAATTTATTATCTTCTTCCTCTTTTAAACAGAAGCTGTCATTCTTAAGTGTGAATTGTAACACATACTGAAGTGCTGAGACTATAAAATGTAAGCCAGCCTTTGCTTCAGAAGGAAAGCTCTCCTTCAGTTTCATGCAGCTAATCATTAAAAATCTGCTCCTTCGCCAACTGAGCTTAGAGACATCACACACATAACTGTGCACGAAAGTGCAGCCATTCAAGTGCAGATGAGGAAAGGGTGCCTTCCACTTACTCAGAACTCACGTTCTCAGAGAGGTTCTTTGCAAATATTAAAGTAAGCCACAACTAGAGGAGAAGGGGCATTCCAGATAACAGCGCACAGGTTTCTGTGGACACATCTGAGATCTGCAGACACTGCATTCCCGGTGCTCAGCATGGTGGTGCACTCCTGAAATTCCGGTTCCTTGGGGAGGAAGCAGGAGGATTAGAAATCCCAAGCCAGCCTGGACAGTTTATGGAGACCCTGTCTCAAACAATAAAAAGGGCTGGGGTATAGTTCTGTGGAACAGCACCCCAGGGTTGAATCCCCAGTCCTGGGGTGAAAAGACTGCCTTTTGCTTTGAGTTCTGGGCCTACAAGATGGGCTCAGAGTCAGTGCAGGGAAAACAGCACAAACTTAGACCTCAGGAGGGTCCAAATGTCTTTGGCTGCCTCACAGTGTGCCAACATTTAGAAATCCAGTTTCACAGTAGGACATGGTGATGCATGTTGGTAATTCAGGCACTCTGCGAGGATGAGGCAGGAAGACCGAAAGTTCCAGTCCATTCTGGGCAGTTTCGCCTTAGGAAGACCTTGGGTCCGATCTCTAGTAACATAGAAAGAATCAAGTTTCCCACTAAACAGGGAGAGCCTGTTAACACAGAGCCCAGCCTCCTGTCTCCAGCTGGAACTACCAGCTGGCCCTGCCCAGTGTGCCACCGTCTGGTCTGCTTGCGTCCTTCATGTGTGCCACTTCAATCCTTCCCTTCCTGCCTACTCCATGGATCCAAGAGGTACTGGGATGCAGGTGCAGCCCCTAGGCTCCTATCCCTGATCTGGTGGGTGGGAAAGGAAAAGATTTATGAAAAACCATCTTGTGAGGATCCCAGGGCACAGGCTGTTGCAACACTTGTAAGAAGGGACTTGTGATGGCTGGTTTGGAAACCTGGCCACAGATTGTGTGCCACTGCTCCCACTGAAGACCGAGAGTGCGCGCCTGCATGCTACTTCTGCTTCTCAGCCTGCGGCCACCTAGACCAGCAGGGCTCAGCAGAAATGCTACGTGAATTCCATGGCGAAATTATAAAAGGCATCCAGCTCTGTCTTGTCCGCAGGACATTTCCCTCGGAGCTCTGACCACCACAGCTTCTCTGAGGATGCCATGACGTGGGCAAGTTGAAGCCACATGGAGAGACCACATGCAGAGGTCTGTCCAACAGTCGCGGTCAACCCTCCCCAGGCACTGGGCTCCTGTGGAGTCTCTCGGCGAGACCCAAACTCAGTCACCTGAGGCTGAGCCAGAGTGCTTATGCTGTGAGGTGACAGACTTGCCTCTGAAAACAGTTCCTGTCCTCATCATGGAAAAAAGGATACAGACGACCGATTACCGATGTCTTTCACAGTAGTTAAAAGTTCTGGGGAAGGTGAACCTCAAAATTTCCAAAGTGGGAGATGATTTTATCTCCACAGCATGGAAGCAGAGATGTTGACTGCAAAAGCTCCTGGATATTTCACCAGCTGCCTAATGGACAATTACACAGGAGCAGAGCTGCACAGAGGAACATGTTTCTCAATACCAAATAGCTTACTTTGGTAGCACTTATTCTGTTTTGGGTCGTTGGCCCTTGGAAAACATCTCAGTGGGGCCTCTAATGTGTAAATGTCATAGATGTGCATGAAACATAAAAATGGCCATATGAAGGGAAAACATGGAAAGGTGTCAGTACAGTTGTTCTACTAAGAACAGGAGAATGTCACAGGCCTCCCGGCTCTTTCTTTTGTTTGGAAGAGAATGCAGCTCTTCGCAGGTTTAACCACCACCGAAGTCACAGATGAGTTTGCAAATTTCTCAACCTTACATTTCCGTGCTCTGTAGTATCTTTTTTTTTTTTCTTCATTGCTGGGGATTAACCAGGGCCTCCTGCTAGCCAAGAGTACTATTACCAAGTGACACCCCTAACCCTTAAAATCTTAGGTCTTTCTTCAAGTGACATACTTGATGTGCTCTTAAGGATCAAAGACAGATGTTTTCCTATATGCAGTGCCAGACAGGAATAATCATGACCTCAAAGAAGGAATCCTGCATCCAAACCTTTCAGTTGCTTAGAACTAAGTCACAGGACCAGAAATCCCACCCTGGCCCTACAGGATGATCCCTTTCCAAGCGCTGACCACCCATAAGAGCATGGCTCAGCGCCACACAAGCTTTGAGGCCTACACAATGCTCCTTCGAGAGAAGGCCACCTGTTTAACTGAGTTCTAGACCCACTCTCCCCAGATGCTTGTCCAGGTTTTGCTGTTTCTGTCCTGCTGCTCTAGCCCTTTCTTGAATCATTTTAGCTACAGCTGTCACACATGTTCTATGGCACTAGGTGACTTCAGTGACAAATATACAATCCACCAAGAATCACATGCTAGCCTGGTTATTTTCTCTGAACAGTCTAAGGGGCTAACGGACAGGCAATTGCAAACAAGTCAGGCTGAATGCATTTATAGAGATGAAAAGTGGTCATGGGGGGAAGGTAGAATTTTCTCGGTACTAGGCCCCACGCATTCTTCCTCCAAGCTCTCAAGATAATACCTTTCAGGGTTGGTG